CTGTCCATAAAGGTACTTGTGGAAGTGTTTTGTTGCATTGACTATTGCTAGTAACTCCTTCCTGGTCACACAATAGTTTCGTTCGGGTTTTGTGAATCCTCTGCTATAATACGCTAGCACCTTTTCTTCTCCGTCTATATGCTGTGACAAAACGGCTCCGATTCCGTTGTTACTTGCATCAGTATCTAACACGAACGTCTTGCCACGAACTGGATATGCTAGCAAAGGAGCATCACATAGTTCAACTTTTAACTTTTCAAATGCTGAGTCGCATAGGGTATTCCAGTTGAAAACTCGGTCCTTCTCGGTAAGTTGGTGGAGAGGTCTGGCAACTTTTGCAAAATCCTTTACAAAACGTCGATAGTACGTTGCCAATCCCAGAAAACTGCGCAATTCATTTTTATCCTTTGGAGTTGGCCAGTCTTTCACAATTTCTATCTTGCTGGGATCGGTTCGAACTCCATCTGAAGATACCACATGTCCCAAATAGTTAACTTCTTTAGAAAATAACCTGCACTTTTTAACGTTCAGCTTTAAATTTGCCACCCGAAGTCTTGTGAAGATCTCCCGTAAGTTTTCGACGTGTTGATCAAATGTTCTTCCTAGAACAATTATGTCGTCTAAATAGACAAGACAGGTAGACAAGAATGTAGCTGGAGCATTGCACAATCCAAATGGCATGACGGTGAATTGCCACAACCCCGATCCGATAGAAAACGCTGTCTTTTCGCGATCGTTCTTGTCGATTTCTACTTGCCAGTATCCGCTTTTCAAATCAAGCGTAGAGAACCAACTTGAGCCAGATAGGGTGTCCATGATGTCATCAATCCTCGGTAACGGATAGCTGTCCTTTTTAGTCACATCATTTAACTTCCTATAATCAACGCAAAAACGGGTAGTGCCGTCCTTCTTCTTTACCAAAACAACTGGCGAAATCCAGGGACTTGATGACGGTTCGATGACGCCTTGATTCTGCATTGTCGTTATCATTTCGTTTACTTCTGTTTGTTTTGCTAAAGGAAGACGTCGTGGTACTTGTCGGATCGGTTTCGAATCTTGAGTATCAATTCGGTGAGTTACCAGAGCTGTTTTACCTTGGTCATTGTCACCGGTTGAAAACACGTCTGCAAAATCAGCAATCAACGCCTCGGCTTTTAGACGGTCTTCTTGATACAAATTAAGCTCATCTAGTAGATTTTTGGTAAGTTCTTTGAGTCTATCTTTGTCAGTTGGTAGAACCTTTTCCTGTTGCTCCACATCTAATGATTTCACCAAATTTATTGATTGGCAATTACCTATTTCCTCGCCTTTTTTAATTTTAATAGTGTGTTTAGCGGTATTCATTATTCTGACAGGAATAAGACCATTTTTGTTCGCTTCTACAAGGCATTTTCCAATGACCGCGTTCTGTATATTTGTCGTTGAGGTTGGCTCCATCAAATAGAACTGGTGGCCCCCAGGATCGCAATTCAACTTGCCCCATACGATGTTTTCAGATGATTGAGGTAGTTCCATGTCACAATCGACTGTTACTCGAATGCATTTTTCGTCGCTATCCCCCATTATCACTTCTGTATTTCTCCATCTAAGAATGCGTTTTTTTTAAGTCAATTTTGAACCCATATTTTGTCAGAAAGTCGACACCTATTATGCATTCGTCGATGATATCCGCGACTAAGAATGAACCTTCGAATAACAAGTCGCCTAGCTGAACAGTACGGAGAATCTTTCCATAGACTGGTGCTGTTCCTCCGGTAGCTGTTCAAAGGATGTATTTGTTAGAAGTCTCTTTCTTCAGATTGGGTACCAAATCAGATCTTAAAATCGATTTTGTTGCTCCGGTGTCGACCCGTGATACGGGATCATCTTCTCTTCTTTTGCGCCATCTTGTCGCGCAATTTCGGCAGTAGTTATCTTTTAGGCGGTGTTTACAATCACGACGTAGATGGCCTTTTTCGCCACAAATCCAGCATTGGAGTACACCATGCTGTTGGGGTTCGCGTTTCACAATCACCTTCTGGCAAGAGCATTCTTCATGTACTTGGCGTAGACGTACGTCACTTTTTGATGCTTGCTTTGCCGATTCAAAAGTGAGACTGTGCGCAACGGCATCCTTGAGTTTTCGTTTATCTGACAAGAGAAGGGATTGCTTGAGTTCCGAATCACGAAGGGCTTTGATAAACGTATCCAGGGCAGTTTCGTCTCTGTGCTCGGGGTCTGATGTTGGATACGACAGCAATGTCAACCGTTCGATATCTTGTGCCAGCTGCTGAATGGATTCACCAGATCGTTGCGTTCTGTTTCTAAGTTGAGACCGATAAATCTGCTTCATGTGTTCTTCACCATAACGTAAATCCAACGCGCTAACCAGAACTTCATAGTTGAAGTGGTTCTCCGCCGGAATCGTCTGAAGAACCTCTGCTGCTGAACCTCGCAGGGCCAGTATCAGTGCTGTGCTCGTTCTTTTCCGTTCCAACAGTTACTAGTTGCCGCTGCTTCGAAC